TCATTGTTGTTTGGCGGGTCCGGGCTGGGGATTCGAACCCGCCACCTTAGGTGTACGTGGCTGGCGCCTTAGCCGGTTGAGCTACAGGCACCGAGCCAAGAATAAGAAGTTTTATACCCATTACTACAACTAACTTAGCCTTGTGACCTTAGGCAAATATCTTCATTTCTCTGATCCTTTATCTACAGAAGGAAGATTGAGACCAGATAATTCTAAAATCTCTTCTGGTTTTAGAATTCAGGCATTTAACATAATAACATATCTATTTTGCTGTTTGTGTCTTGTGCCTGGCAGGGAGAAGTTATACACTGGTTGGCATGTTCATTGTATGTTGCATGCCGCAAAAGCATAATTCCCACAGTTGGAAAGGGTATCATGGAAGGAAACTGTGTTTCACTTACTAGAATACTCCGTTCAGCTAAATTAAGGTAAAGCACTTTGATTTTTTCTAATGTTGTTTTATGGACCCTAAGTTTAATTTTAGAATTGAATTTCTCTTTATTTTACATCCTTTGACTTCATTTATTTGTTTGTTATCACATGGGTATCCTTTCCCAATTCTCATACTTTTCCTCTGCTTTTCTTTCTCAGATTCTGACTTCAGCCCAAGACCTTTGTGCTAAATCTTACTTTCTTTAATTATTTTTTTATTATTTTTGAGACAGAGCCTTAAGCTGTCCCCCCTGGGTAGAATGCCGTGGTATCACAACTCACAGCAACCTCCAATTTCTGAGCTCAAGTGAGTCTCTTGTCTCTGCCTCCCAAGTAGCTGGGACTACAGGTGCCCGCCACAGGGCCCGGCTATTTTTTGGTTGCAGTCATCATTGTTGTTTGGTGGGCCCAGCCTGGATTTGAACCCGCCACCTTAGGTGTATGTGGCTGGCACCTTAGCCACTTGAGCCACAGGCACCAAGCCTAATTAATTTTTTTAAATTTGGAAATAATTTCAGGCTTACAGAAAAGTTGCAAAAAAATGTTGATATCTCCTTGACCAACATTCACCCCTTACTGCCATTTTACCCTATTTACTTTTTTATTTGATCTTTCTCTCTTAAATAAATTTTTTTCTGGGCAGTGCCTGTGGCTCAAAGGAGTAAGGTGCTGACCCCATATGCCAGAGGTGGTGGG